AGATGCACACCACAACAATGTCCATGGCACACCAAGCAATTAGTCGCACATCACGACTGTCCATGGCACACCCAGCAATTAGTTGCACATCACGACAATGTCCATGGCACACCCAGCATATAGATGCACACCACAACAATGTCCATGACACACCCAGCAATTAGTCGTACATCACGACAATGTCCATGGCACACCAAGCAATTAGTCGCACATCACGACAATGTCCATGGCAAACCCAGCAATTAGTTGCACATCACGACAATGTCCATGGCACACCCAGCATATAGATGCACACCACAACAATGTCCATGACACACCCAGCAATTAGTCGTACATCACGACAATGTCCATGGCACATGCAGCAATTAGTTGTACATCACGACAATGTCCATGGCACATCCAGCAATTAGTCGTACATCACGACAATGTCCATGACACACCCAGCAATTAGTCGTACATCACGACAATGTCCATGGCGCACCCAGCATATAGATGCACACCACAACAATGTCCATGGCACACCCAGCATATAGATGCACACCACAACAATGTCCATGGCGCACCAAGCAATTAGTCACACATCACGACAATCTCGATAGCACATCCAGCATATAGATGCACACCACAATGTCCATGGCACACCAAGCAATTAGTCGCACATCACGACAATGTCTATGGCACACCCAGCAATTAGTTGCACATCACGACAATGTCCATGGCACACCCAGCATATAGATGCACACCACAACAATGTCCATGGCACACCCAGCAATTAGTCGTACATCACGACAATGTCCATGGCACATCCAGCAATTAGTCGTACATCACGACAATGTCCATGGCACATCCAGCAATTAGTCGTACATCACGACAATGTCCATGGCGCACCCAGCATATAGATGCACACCACAACAATTTCCATGGCACACCCAGCAATTAGTCGTACATCATGACAATGTCCATGGCACATCCAGCAATTAGTCGTACATCACGACAATGTCCATGGCACATCCAGCAATTAGTCGTACATCACGACAATGTCCATGGCGCACCCAGCATATAGATGCACACCACAACAATTTCCATGGCACACCCAGCAATTAGTCGTACATCACGACAATGTCCATGGCACATCCAGCAATTAGTCGTACATCACGACAATGTCCATGGCACATCCAGCAATTAGTCACACCATGACAATCTCCATGGCACACCCAGCAATTAGTCACACACCACGACAATGTCCATGGCACACCCAGCAATTAGTCACACCATGACAATGTCCATGCCACACCCAGCAATTAGTCACACACCATGACAATGTCCATGGCACACCCAGCATTTAGTCACACACCACGACAATGTCTATGGCACACCCAGCATTTAGTCACACACCATGACAATGTCCATGGCACACCAAGCAATTAGTCACACACCACGACAATGTCCATGACACATCCAGCATATAGATGCACACC